AAGAAAGCAGACTTTGGGCTACTGCATTTTCTCTATTAAAAATTAAAGCCTCTGCATACCAATATGATGAGTACATGTTATCCTAGTGGAAATTTTCTTAAAAGCAAAGCTCAGTCTTAACACTTCCAGTGAAAGTCAGTGAAAACCCCTCCTTAAAACTCTGCCATCTCTGACCCCACAAAGTTGTACCAGAAAGCTTTCAGGCCAGCCCCAGATGGATTAGTTACTTTAAAAGACCATATGTTTAGTATTACTGGCATTGTCTCAATGTTTTCAGTAAGTACTGAAAAAAAGAATTAAAATTTGTCATCAACTTCTGGGGCTATTTTGTTTACAGAATAAAGTCAGGCATAGCTGAACTAAAATTATCCTTAAAAATATTCAAAACCAAGCACAAAAAGCACTTAAATTAAGCCAAAATCTAGTTTTGCTGCATCTGCTGCAAAAAGTTGAAAAAAGGAATGGATATGGCACCATAACAATAGTTTCAAGGGTTGAAAGATTTTGTTCAAGTAGGCTGAAGATATGCAAAGATGAATTACCTCAGAGCTTACTCTCAAAAGCGATACATCATAACAGATCAAACTCCCCAGGGTCTGTGCTCCTGTCTACCAAAGTGAGGCAACAGCACCAGGCTTGATATTTTAAGAGCTACTGATTCTAGGGGGATTTTTGGACCAGCCCTTTAAGGAATGTAGGCAACCACAGTGCTTTGCCATTTTCTTTCAAAGCAGTGGATGAAATCATTTCCATATGTATAGAGAGTTTAAAACTGATAGCTTCTATCCCAGGAGGACAGAAAGTAATGGCTAGACAGTGTAGAAAACTCTCTCCAGAAAATAACAATTCCTGTTTAGTACAAGGAATATTGCTTTGGTACATTAAAACAGAAACCATTTGGGGGGGGGGGCAGGGAGGGAGAGGAAAAAGAAAAATAATATTCATTCTCATTTTATGTGAAGAAATCAAGGCTGAGTTTAAATTAAGTCACTCGGAACAATTAAATAATTATTCCAAGTGACTTAACGAATCAGTGACAGAGCTGAGGACAAAAGCCATGTTATCCATCTTCCCATCTATTTCCCTACCCCTCCACAAAAAGACTTTTACAAATATAAAAGTTCATATCAGATGGATCCATTCTTAGTGACTAAAAAGATTAGAAACCTCTAACTGCAACACAGACTTTAAGAGGTATAAGGAAGATGGAGAACTTGAATTTAAGACACATTTCTCTACACAAAATAGATAAAAATGGAAAATAGACAATCCCAAACTAAAGGAAATAAAGGAACAAATTTTCTCTCCCAACACACCAAAGAAAATTAAGAACATCTGTTTCCAGATTTCTTTCAAGTGGGACAGAAGATGACACCTACTCCATCCTGTTCCTTTTAGTAGCAAAGACTGAGAACCAGCCTCGACTGTAGAAGATGACAAGGCAGAAAGAAAAAAAAAAAGCATCTAGGCAGTGTACTTCACTTTATGCCCCCTACATTATCTTCAGCAAAAGCTTACACATTTGAAACATTATCCAGAGCAATTTTAACTTCTGCTTCCCTCTCCAAACTCTTTTCGAGGTCATTTGGTTAGCCTCTCTAGTGCATTCGATGGAAATACTAGTTGGGGAGTACTACAATACAGGCTTTGGAGAGATGTAACTTAACATTTTTAAAGGGGGAAAGGGAATAGCTTCTCAGGTGAGGCATCAGCTGGTACAATGTAAATGTTACTTCTGCATGCTCCTATTGGAATATGAGGGAGATAAAGCACATTTTGTCCCTGAATAAAACCATATTAAAAAGTTACAATAATTTTGCTACACTTTCATTCTATAGGAGCACTTGTTATACTATAACAAACTATGCCACTATTATTCAATGTTGATACAACTGTTATGTCTGTATTCCCTCAGTATGAATGCAGTTTGGATATATAAGAGCCAATCCACATCCCAAACTGCTTGGAAGCTCTCTTATGAGAAACTTTGGAGCAGCGGCAATTTGGTTAATAAAAGGTCAGGATCAGAAGATAACCACAGCAGGACAGAGGAAAAGATTTCCTCATTTGGGGGCAGAAGGAGTTGGGGGAGGAAGGACAAACTGTGTCCTGTTACGGATCTATGAAAATCATCCAGTGTCATTAGAAATGTCAAGTTCCTCAGGCTGACATGCTTCTATCATACCCACTCTCAATCCTGTCAAGACTAGTTTGGGGCTGTCATCTTACAGGATGAGCATTTTCGGACAGATCAGAAAACGTGCCTCATGTTTAGGTGTGTGGGAAACAGTACAAGTGCCATATCTTACTCTTCTACTGTACCAAGAGTACTGATTAAATAGCCAACACTCACTAGTACCAAATCCTGAACCTCAAGGAATACCTGTTACTTCTAAGAAGCTTAGCTACGTCAAGACTCATTCTGTCCTGGACAAGCATGCCAAAGCTGTAAATCCAAACATGTGGAGTATTCAACATGCATTTAATAAAACACTAGATTCAAGTTTAAATCTTGGCTCTTGTTTTGATCTACTGGGTGCATCTACACAAGATGGTTTACTGTGCAGCAGACCAATTTGCTGTGCAGTAAAGCGTCAGCATCTATGCATGCACAGCAATTATAGTGCATAGTAGACCTAAGACTTACAAAAAACTAGAACTCTTGGTTCCAAAATGATACTTTTTAATCAAACCACCTGGGAAATCGCAAGAAAACTGTTCTTTTCTGCAAGCTTTTGGGATCAAAGCCCCTTCATCAGGCTCTGGGAACACTATAGATGGTACAAGATGGTAAAAAGTCCTCATAGGTAGGAAATAAACTTCATTTTTGCACAGAGGGAGCTGAAGATGGAAGTGTCTCCCCCTCTGGGTCCAACACTCCTGAGTGCATAGTAGATTAATTTACTGTGCTGCCAGATTGCTGGATGCCAGTTGTATCTTACAGAGCTGAGTAGTAAATTACTGCACTTAAATGCATGTGTAGATGGTGACGTCAGGATTAGTTTACTCAGGCTCAATTTGAGCTGAAGTATATTCAGTTGTATTAACTGCATGTGTAGATGCACCTACTGATATTAGAGTAATAAGAAGGAGGTTCAGTAAACTCTCTCAATCCCTTTAAGTTAAAATAAGTCTCTACTGGGAGACTGAAACAATAAAAAAAAAACTGGACCTGGTTCAGTGACACAGAAATCTTGCTCAGAATAAGTTTATCAACTTGCTCCCTACATTGCCCGACATGCTCTTCTGCTGCAACAGGGAGTAAGGTCTTAATCTTCAGGGACTACAGGGACTAATGGGTGACATATCAAAACAAAAATCCTGTTCTCCTCTCTGGAGAAACAGATGAAATAAAATAGCTGTAAGTGGGATGTATGGAGGAGCCCATTTAGGTTTCTGTGAGATGTATTCTGGGACATGATACATGTGAGAAAACAGCGTTCCAGAAAAAAATAAGCATCCTGTTTTGGAAAGTCCTACAAAGGAAAAAAGATCTTATCTAAACAGTCTGGGGTTGCTGGCTCCAGCTCCACATGATAGCTCTGGCTATGGACTGGCCCTGCATGCCAAACCATTTTGGTGCTCAGGACCATGTCATCTTGTCAGAAGGCTCCCTAGGGGTCTATAAATTTGGCAGCAGGGAAGCAAGGACAGGGTTAGTTGCTGGGGCTCCCAGAGCTGCAATAACTAATGCTGTCACCGCTCCCCCACTGTCTAATTTCTGAACCCCCTCGGAATCCTTATTTCTTGCATATAATGCACATCCTAGGCTGCTGAGAGGTGAGAAAAAAAACAACTACCAGTGCCTTCCTGGAAGAGGCACTGCATTAGTTTGACCTGGCCCCCCAGATGCTGTATAGATTGAGTGCTGCAGTGGGGCTTTTCGGCAGTTTTATCCAAAGCAGATTCAAGTGCCTGAACTATACAGACGTTGGGTGAGCAAGGACAAAACACAAAATCCCTCTTCTGGGCATGAGCTATGCTTGGTGTGGGGGCATGCTGAGCTTGAAGTGCTGTGTGCTCTTTTTCCCCCCATGTCTGTAAACAGCCCTAATTTCCCCAAGTTGATTTAGGGGAAAACATGCATGTTTTGTGAGAGAAATAAATCTACCAGGTTTTTTTTTTTAATCTTGACCTGATTTTAGGATTTGAATCCTCCTAACACTTTCATTTAGAGGTACTGTATCAGAGATAATTCTATAACTAATTCACTGTCACTTTTGTTATACAATGGAACAGAAAACCGACTGATTAGTAAATTAGCTACATTTCCTGTTAATTTTGTTTACATTTGTTTTCAAATATAGTTTGATATTATCTGTGAACAAAAACCAGCAAAGGAAACCAGAAGAAAAAGCATACAAGCACTTGGTTAATGATGTCTATCAGTCACAACCGTATAATTAGATACTTTGCAGTAATTAACATTCCCATTTAGTTCTTGTTTACTGCTTTGACATATTTGCAATTAATTTTTAAAAGCATGACAGAGAATTTATTGAAACAACATCTTAACTGTTAAAAAAATAGGAGATGGCATTTTTGTCACTGACATTGCCTAAAAGAACATATCTGGGATTTCAAGATAGCTAACATACAGTCATGCAATGGGAAGAACAGACCCCCATGTGAAATAGGTATAATTTGACTTCATCTGTTATACAATCTGATAACAGGAAAGTCTAGTCGAGTCAACTATTCTGTTTGGACATGTCCCCATCAAAGAAATTTTGATGAAATATACAACCTTTGGTTGGGAAAAGAGTATTCTTTAGCATACAAACGACCTTATGAAAGATGGAGTGGATGACCTGCCATGTCTGCCCTCTGAGTCTATAACTTAAAATACCATGTTACTATCTGAAGCAGAGATTATTTATTATACCAATCTATGGGAAGAGGAAAGAAGCAAACATGAAATATGTATTGATGTTGGCTTTAAGTTACGTATTTTTCAAAGATGATGTGGTTTTTAAAAAACAGCTGAATAGTATACACACCTGGTTTCCCCCTGCATTATGGCATTCATAAACCCCAACAACACCATCTGCAAAGTGGCCCAAAGTGTCGAGGCAATTGGTGCCCTGCTGCAGAGCCCCAAAAGCTATATCTTGATGATCAGGTACCCTAAAATAGAAACAGAAATATCCATTTAATTTAATTTTCCCCCCACTGTCTCCCTTCCTTTATTTAAGCAGATTTCTAGGATGCAATAAATAAGAACTGATAAGTTTCATATAAACTATATTCAAGTTCCCATGAAATCTTTGGTGGTTAGAATAAACAATTTAGGCAGGAGAACATGATGTCATAACCTGCTGTTTTAACTGCAATATTTCCTGAAAACTAAAACTACCCTGAATTTAAGATGACTACCCAATAGTTAGATTCTATGCATGGAAAATCTATAAATTTGTTCTAATTTTCCATGTATAGGAAGCTGATCTTTAATTCATCCCTTTCACTACTGCAGGGGGGAGGCAGGATAGGAAGGGAATGTGGGGAGGTCAAGCAGATTGTCCCCTGCTTGTGTCTGCCCCCCTGCCACCTCTGCCCTCTGCCAGCACCTCTCTACCCTTTGCTCCCTCCAGGCAGACTCCAACCCCATTCTAGCTCAGAACACTGAGCACAGCCCCAATCCAGCCCCATAGTGTGCCTGTGGGCTATGTGCTGCTGCTTTGGAGCTGGGGTGGGGCCATGCTCAATGTCCCAGGCTGCAGCATGCACAGAGCCTGCGAAATGCAGAGCAAAGGTAAGGGGGGTGAAAGGGAAAAGATAGGGGTAGCCAGAGATGCAGAGGTTGCATAGAAGGTTGGGGAAAAGATGACAGGGAAAAGAGGGTGCAGGGGGAAGTAGACAGCAACTGCAGCTATGACACTGACCCCAGTTAAGGGCTGGAGCCCAAGCCACAGCAGCTGTCTGCTCCCCTCCACCCTCATACTTGATTCTGAGACAACGGCTCTCCTCCCCATGTTAAATGGGGGAAAAACCCCTCATCTGTAGAAATAAGTACATACAGTAAATGGTCCAATACAATGAAACTATAGGCTCACTAGCAGATGACTGAATTATACTAAGAAACTGAGGTGAACATTTGAATTCTCATGATAAGAGAGATGGATTGAACTGGTAGTAATGCCTATAGTTAAGGTTGTCTAAACACTTTCTGTTTATAAAAGCCTTGTTCTCAGTTGCTTATAAAATATTGCCAAAATTAAATCCACTGAGGCAGAATTTTGGTACACTGCATCACTGTCTCAGGCCAACTTTCTCTTCTAAATTTAAAAAAAGTAAAATAAAAAAAGCTCCACAGTTTTTCCATTTCTGAAAATGGGTGTATGGAAAAAAAAATTGTTTTGCCAATGTTAGCAAGTTATTTTACTGTTCCTTTGAGAAACTCAAGCATCTCCCTCCTTTGAAGTGGGGATTTAATTTTTGGCAGAGGCACGCTGGGGTCAAGAAGCTGGCTTTAATAGCCCCCATGAAAATTCAGCTACCTCTGGCCAAGTTATACGCCGCTAATCAGTTTGCTCCTTTTTCAGTAGAAGCTTGCAGCAAGTCTTCAGATATTTCATTCGCATCAAGCATGTTCCAGCTCAACATGGAGTATTTTTTTCTTTAAGTTGTTTGCTCAGCTGATGAGGAGGATGCAACTAAGAACTTGAAAGGCACAACTCACTGTGTTCCCAGGGCTTACTCTGCTGGCACCCTGGTAGCATGACAGGAGAGGAACACAGCCCAATTCAAAAGACAAAGGAGTAAACAAATGAAGAGATGAAATAAAAAAGGAAGGCAGGTAGAATAAGGGAGGCTGTGCCGAGTTTCCTTGCCCCTTCTACTACCCTCTGCCATGATTGTTTTGGCATAGACTTAAAAAGTGAGATTAAATATTTAACTATTAAGTTCCACAATACAATAAATTAATATTTAAAAAATCTGACATGTGGAAGAATTAGACATATACAAGTTACGGGAACCAAAGCATACATGTTATAAGCGACTTTTAGGCTTTTATTAACTGAGAGCATATTCCACCATTAAAATGCATCATCGCCGTCTTGATTACAATTCAAAATGGCAACATGGTAACGGAACAAAGTTGCACGATAAATGTATTAACTGTCCGGAGACTTGCTAGGATAGGAAGGTAACTAGAAATTTAAAAGATTTCCCTGTAAGATTAAAGTGAATGCACTTAAATTCATGAAACACAAGAGAATCTATACACTTCCATTTGGAAGGCAAAAATAGGAGGAAGAAGGGAGTCAGAGGAAAAGGTGCTGTCAGATTTTAAAGGAGGTCACTGCAGCTAAAACTAATACATAGTAAACATCTCGAGGTACTTTCTGAAGACAACATAAAATGACGTTATTTCCTTGTCCTCATTACCCTTCTTTGTAAGAAACATGCCAATATGTAAGGTTCCAAAAGCTTTCACTGAGGGAACAACAGCTGATACTTTTGCACACAAAGACAAAGAATTTATTTTAGTGAATTCTGACAAAGTACTTTGAAACAGCTAGAGAAAGAAATGTACTGTTTTTTAAAGCCACACATAATCCTACAATTACTTTAAGATGATTTACGCATATGGTATACATACCAAGTTGGAGACTTAGAGGTCTGATAGGAAAGGATACTGGTAGCCTAGTGTTACTCATTTGAAACCCAGTAAAAAGAAATATAGCTTTGAGGAGGATTTTTCTACCTTATAGAGGAGATGAATGGAAACCCATTAGTCAGGCTGCATTCTAACTAACAATATGCACTCACACTGTGCAAATTTAACCTTCAAAGCTCTTTAGTAGTTTCAGATCAGTCACTGTTTAAGAAGGGTTGTTTTATGCAGGTGATAAATGGAGACAAAAGGTTAGCGACTGCCCAAGATAACTGAGATTCCATGAGAAATGGATTAGAACAAGCCTGCCTAACTCAGGGCTGTACTCTAGCCAGTGCCTTCAAATAAAGCTCAACTTTCGCGTCTGATGATGGGTCAGTAGAAAAAAAATGGCAGCTTAGAATGAAGTAATAAGCCAAGAAAACCCACTATCAGAGCCATGATCCAACTAAATATCCCTTGGGTGCAGAAAGGATAAAAAAAAGTTACAGGACAATTCACTGCTGTGGATACAGACTATTTGACACTCACCTTAACTCAGGATAGACATTTTCAAGATACCATTTGAAGGGTTTGCAGCTAAGTCTCTTCCTCAACTCCATTCGGCTTTGAATGCTGAAGAAACCAAAACAGCAGCTTACAAGCTCTGGCAGTTGAATTTAAATACATTTTAAAAGATATTCAAAGCATATTTACAAGATGACACATTTCTGCAGACAGATTTTAAAGAAATGGAGTACAAAAGCTAACTTTCCTTCACCCTCAGAGAATACAGTCTTGAGCAGAATAAGGGAATAGGAAAAAGCAGATCCAACTTACTTGCCATAAGGTACATTTCTGGCAGAAGGCACTGCTGCATAGTAGAAATTTTTGTACTCATCCATCCAGACTTCTGCAGCCCTACGTGTATTTCTAGGAGCAAAATGTTTAAGATGTACGTTATATTTTGTCCTACTGCAGTTAATCATGCCATTTATTCTATGCTTAAATTACCCACCATTACACCACATGGTTTCCTATCATAGGCTCAACAAATTTCCATGTTAGGAAAAAAAGTGTACAGGCTTAAAAACAAGGAACAAAAGTCTAAGGTGGTGTGACTGCAAGATGTTTTGAGATAAATTTTTGTGCCTTCTCTCCATGAACAGCTGATCCAGGCTTTTATTTAGAAAGATACAAATTTTAATACACTATTTTTAGTGCCCTTTCTAATAAAAGAAATTTTATTACTTTATAAGTGGTTTTTGACTCAGTATTTTAACCTGGAGAAATATTCAAGATCTCAATAGCCAAAGGGCAATGACAAAGACAATATCTGAAAATGTGCCTTTAACTTTGCAGTAGCTTTCAATGAAAGCAGTAGCTTTTCACAAGAAACTGAACTCACTAACTTGAGGAGAATGCATTTTTCAATCTTCTTTCTGAACCTACCAACACAACAACAAGAGCGCTATGTAGATATAATACAAAACACTTGAAAATAGTGAAACACTTAGGTCTATGACCTAGCAGACTTGTTGCAGTGGAGGCAACAGATAAATTGTCTAACCTTCAGCTTGTGTTTCTGCAACTTCTGAAACACTGTCTAAAATTCATACTTGGTGAACTGCTGCACTAAACAGAAAATTTCCTGAAGCTTGTTTTTTGATGTTTTCTTATATTTTTACATAACAGGAATCTTTAAATCCATTCTAAACTGCAGTAGGACTACGATGTATCATTTTGTAGGAGGTCTCTTTTCTTATTACAAAACGTGTTTATACTTTTTATATAAAGCACATGCACCATATTTAAAAATGTGTGCATGTGAGAGAGATAATCTGTTTAATAATAGATTAAAGCATAACATTGCTTCTTGTGACTGTATTCAAGATACGTACATCAATTAGTTGTTTATTATTAAACAGATAGTCTCGCACAGGACCATGTTACTTGATTAGAAGTTATCAGCAGGACACCTTCAGTATGGTACATACACTTACACACAGGCAATATCCTTGACGTAAATACTGCAGACCTAAGTGATTAATATCATGTATATGACTTCTTCCCTTATCTTCCTCCCACTTATCTATTACCTCCCTAGACTTATTTTAACATTCCAGAGTGCTAGGTAGATTCCAACAGCTTCTTTAAAGTCAACCTAGCAAAGAAATATTTCCTCTTGGCATAAACTACTAATTTTTGGCACCTTTTACACCTATTTTTAGTGTCCAGCTACTCCAATACAGCCAGAACCCTTAATTTTTATTGAATTGCTTTAATTAACATAGTCCATCCAAAAACAATTTTAGTGAATTGTAAAGGACTCTCACGGCATTTCAGTTCAAAGGGCAATGACAAAGAACAGGTGTGGAGAAAGCTAGACCAGAAGCAACACTGGATTAAAAAGCTTCAACAAACTTAAAAAAAAAAATCACTAAGGCTTAAACAAAAATGGTGAAGGTTTGTTTTTGTTTCCTTTTCCCCACCTCACACATAATATAATCCAAAAGGATTCTGCAATAAGAATGCAGCTTCCCCTGTCATATGCTAATGTGATGCATCACATTTAACATGGACAAATATCATTGTCCTGTTTTGAAATTCTGAATCCTGTATTTATTCACAACTGATTGGAGGAAGGATCAACTTGGCATCAGGCCAAAAACAGAAATTTGTATAAATATGAAAAAGCCCCCACACAAATGTATATTATGTAACCCTTTTTATGACATTCTGTGAAAGTCATTTCATGTGTCTAAATAATATACTTAAATAAATAGATCCTCTCACCTCCTCCCACAACTGCAATATAAGTACTAGAATAAGGTGTCTTAATTATCAACTTCTGTTTTTTCACGTGCCAAGTTTTTCCATGGCAATCTAAAATTCAAAACTCAAAGGCAGGGAACCAGCCAACGAAAGAAAAAAATATCTTGTAGAACTATTAAGAGAAATAAGGCCCACAATTTATTTGACCAAGCAGAATCAGTATAACCCCAAAGAAATTTGCAACATTAGAGTTCTTGACATAGTAGGTAATACTATCCTTAACAAAACTACCTGGTTTGAAGAGCACATGACTGTGCTTTAAGTAAACTGTGCTTAATACAATTTGTTTAAACTCCAGACTTCCTTCAGCACAGGCAGCTATTTTATTTGGTTTGCATCTGACACCTTGTAAGACCCATAAATTAGGACTCTGATGCTTCACTGACTTGTGAGTACTTGGAAGAATTCCCAAATACTGAATATTTGTTGTACTGAAAAGCACATGGCACCTCTGACAATACCTCCTCAAATATTTCTTCTACTCCCAGGCACTTAGGGCACTTACACACATGCAAGGAAATCCAGTGTGTCACAGCAGACTCGATCAAATCGAGGCTGCTGGGGCACATAAATTAACATGCTCTGGCAGCCTTGCCCATCACATGCATCAGCAGCACAGCACGCCTCTGCACTGAGAAAACAGCAGCAGTGCACTCTGAACTAAAATACGTTTAGTTCAAAGTGTACCAACGCCATTTTCTCAGCACAGAGGTGCTCTGTGCCACTGATGCACATGCTCCTGATGCAGTGCCAGGCAGTTTTAATTAGCATAGTTCACTAATTAAAAAGTGCCCGGTGCTGCATCGGCAACACATGTAAAAATGACTTTACAAGTCAAAGCACTACATAGGCATCAAACCTCTTTATGAATGTGGATAGGAATCACTACCACCATTCTATAGAAAGAAGACAGAAAAAGCCAAGGTCACACAGTTAATCAGCAGCAGAGCTGTAACATCTGATCTACTGAAACACAAGGTCTCCCTTAAAAATATAAAAGTATTTTTTTCTAAACTGTAGCATTAGGAAGGAAATTTGATATACCAGATGCACACAAAAAAGTGAATGCCTTCCCGTACACTAGATTCCAATGGGTATTATTCAGTGTGCCAGCATGTCTACATGTGCATTAATGTGCCATAGATACTGCACATTACGTTTAGTACCTGTAATAACAGGTCCTAAATGCAATGCAATGCACAGTAATCGGAGCTACTGTGCAGTAACACCAGAGCATGCTTTTTTGCAATGCTAATGCATTTAGTGTCTCGTATAGACATGTCCAGTCTGAACTTAAGAATCTGAGCCTACGTGCTGACATAATTTCACGTACTAGTTCAACACAAAAGCAAAGCAGGGAATATACAAATAGGCAAAAATATTTGTTTTGAGGGTTCTCAATGATTAACAAAATTTCAGGAAAATGCAACTTTTAAAAACACTATTGAAAAAGTCCAAAAATACAGACTGTTGATAAAATCTTTCAAAAGATGAACAAAGTTTTCAATTTTTCCCCCGAAGCCACCAAAGCCTTTCTTCCCTTTTCCTCCTTCCCCAGATTTTCTCCTGGTTGATAAAAATGAAACAAATTCCCTCCTCTTAATAAAAACATTTATTATGAAGCTTTCCTGGCCCGAACTGTGTATTTTCCTGAGTTGTGAAAGTTATTTACCTTTTAATTGTTTGGGTTTTTTTAAACACTTGAAAAAAAATGCAGGTATGGCTAGTGAAAGGGCCTGCAAGTATAATGAAGTTACTGCCACCTGCTGATCATCTGAAGAAATCCGAAGTCCCATATTTCAGCCAAGAATAGACAGAAAGTTACCTTGCAAACACAGTACCGCTCCCACCAGGAAATGTGTAAGGATGCTGTTTGCGAAAGACATGGCCCACTCTGCTGCATGGGATAATTTCAAGGCTCCCACCACACTGCCAAACTCTGAATGAAATCTCTGCAATAAAGATGTGTGCAATAAGTAGTCACACATGACAAAAAACCAGTGTGTACATTTTGAAGCTTACCAAATGTTTCCCAGTCTCTCAACAATGTATAACACAGTATTAAAATAAACAAAAAACAAAACACTTAGGCAAGTGCAAATGAACATTTGGAGGTACCTGTCCATATGAATAGCAAGATGCCTCTAGTTTGTTAATGAGCTTCTTCAGATTCTGTTCCTGACTATGTCACTTCATTCTTCTCTAAATTCATGTATGAATGACTTGTGTATGCACTTGGAAGCACAGCCAAACAACTTGTAGGTATTTTTTAACTTGAGCCATCAACACTTGCAAGCCTCTCATAGTATAAAGCTGCTGTGTATTTTTAATGGATGTTATTGAAAAAAAAAAAAAAGTATGCAAGAACATTACTGAGCTAGGTTACCACAAAGTTACCACACTAATGGAACAATACAATAAATCAACTTAAAACCATAATTAAGACTTGACTCAACAGCACAAACAAGCAAATCACTTAAGTTAATACAAGAGATAAACTGAATTATAAAGGCTGGAACTAGAAGCAAATACTTTGCAGTAGTCTGAATTGAGGGAATTTTATTCACTGCAGGGTGTAAGGCTTCTATCCAATACATTTCATTGACTAGCTGGTGAGGGACAAGGTCCTAGAGAAACCAACAGCCCACATATACTCGTGTCAGTTCTGGCCTTGGCCCCTTGCCAAGGAAACTCACCCAGAGAAGTCCACGAGTTCATTTTAAAGAAGTCAATTAGGCATGCTTGCAGCAGCTATGCTTTTATTAACTCTTCCTTAAATCTGTTGCAAATTATTGGGTGCTGTTCTGTAATAAACAGTCCCTTCACAATAACAAAGAAAAAAACTATTAAATTATATACGTATTACTTTAATCCAGAAGAAACTATTCACTCAATGATAGGTTGCTGTTTAATTTGAGAAATGGTTACTATTTCCCTTCCTTCTCCAAGAACATTTCCAGAGGCACTCACTAATGACAATATATGGAAATAAAAAATGAAGGTAGCCTTTCAGAAATGAAAAGGTTAAAAAATAAAAAATCTAAACTACTTCTGCCTATTTTCTTGAGAACATTAACTCACATGATGATTGTTTGTTCCCTGGAGTCAGATGGTCGAAGTCTTTAACACGTGTGGGATCTCTCTCTGGCTAGGTTACAAATGGTACAAGCTGGCTTTGCTGATTATATCAAGTCTTCACTACTTTTTCCTCTGGATGGCCTGACCACGGAAGGGAGCACAACATAGCTATGGATGTTGTAGATTATATAAGAAAGAACTGATTTTCTTTTGAATGGTTTTTCTTTTTATGGGGATCAGTTCCACTTGTTCTGTCTCAGGGACCACTGTTTTGGCTTTGGGGCTAATAAGGTGAATCCAAGCATTCTGAGTAGCTGAGGTATAATTCTCTCCAATTGGACAATCTTTAGGCTTTAAGCCATGGTGAAAAGTTCCATCCCCAAATGACCAGTAATTCTGCAAAATAAGCAAGGTTAACTTGTAGTTGGATGATCTTCTGAAAAAATACAGGGTATCTAAGGGGACTTTGCCAGGAAGGCTGTTATGTCTATCTTCTGGCACATGAACACACAATTATCAGAAATTATCTTTTATAAAATATCTAATGATCTAAATTATTCTCTCAATTCTCTCATTGCCTTATATGGCAATTAAGTGTTTAAACTACTTGTCCTAATGGCTTTTGACCCCAAAATGGAAAACTGTTGTATCAGAATGAATTCTACTGTTAATTAAAAGTTTTTTCCAGACTCAGTTCAAATTTGGGCTCATATGCCTCACATTTGAAAAGTAGCAACACCTAATGGTTTTTACAACTTTTTTGCCTGCCAGCATTATTTCTCAAGTGTAACTCATTAGCATAAAGCTTTACAAGAGAGTTTACACAGTTCTTTGCCCAGAGATTAAAGGACTGATACAAAAAAAGAATTAAATTCTAGGGCAGGGTAGGAAAAGTTACTCAGCAATATAAAAAACTAAGTGAAGGTAGCTGAGGGTGATCTCAGTAGAAGATAAATACTTTTGTATAGTTCCTAGAGACAAGTAGGCATGGAGCAAAAGGTATAGCAGAACTCAACATTAGATTCTCAGGGGCTTGGTTGTATGTTCTCCTGAAGGCAAAAATTAGATGTCAGACTATATACTGCAAACAAAGAGAACTAGAATTATTTAAGGATTAAACTCAGTCTAACAGGACATTGCACATGGGGGGGGGGCGCGGTGGAGGCCGCAGCAGTGAGTGAGGGAGGGAGTGGGCTGGGGTGAATGGGGCCTTGATCTGTACCCCCCCCCC